ATATCACAGGGTCATAGTAAAGAAGGCGATATGTCTTTTCTCAAGGCTAAATTGTCTTTCAAGTTCACTTCAACAACATTCTCTCTATCGGAGTTTTTCTTTGCTTTCAACTTTTCCTCTCAAAGTGGATGATTCCAGAAATGTCAGAATCCCACTAAGCAATATTTTTGATGAGCAACAATTCAATGCAAAGTGCTTTGCACTGAAAAAACTTCTACCATGAAACGCGCCACGCCCGGGCCGCTATTTCAAATTCGAATAGCATCTGGAAGTCTATTCAATTCTGCTATGGCTCACTTCTCCATCAATAATTGTAGGAATACTGCTGCGATTGCCGCCGTCGGTCATTGAGCTCATGTCCCCCCCCCTTCCTTGCGTTCGTACAAACGAACAGTTGACCTGCTTCCTAGCCCTAGCCCGCTTTGATGAATCGCGATTTCAACGGCGGCGACTCCATCCTCAGTTGATGCTAAGAAAACTATGGGCAACGAGCGCACTGCAAAAGCGGCCAAATTGCTTTCCACTTACCTTGATTGTTTGTTAATTTTGTCATCCGGAAAATCAATTTGAGCCATTTCATAATTCTATTTCCTCATTCGACTGGGACTTCTTTTTATTGTTCTGACTTTCAAGCTGATGAATATCAACCTATGATTGGCCTCAGTGGTCGTGCACCTGCTCCTTTGCTATGCCTAGGACAAGCCAAATTGTGATTTTACCAAATACGGCAAAAATCTGCCCACGCCCTGACAACTAGGGCATGGCTCTTCTTTGGTCCTCATTCCAGTACTGCATAAAGTGCAAGTGAACTTCATATTCGCGTGAGACTTCATCCTTAGTTCCTATTCAATACAACAACTACACTCGGCTAGATTAGCGCCGTTGTCATGCTCATTACCCTTTCAGTCTAGCCGGCTGCAGGTACATTCCAGACTACCTTCATTAATCCTTGCTAGTACTAGCAACCTATAGTATCAGCAGTTAATCATGTTTCTTTGTTTATCATGTTAATTTATTATATGTTCCTTTCTTGAGTATTCGACAGTGGTATCTCAACCACCCTACCATTTTCAGCCATTTTTTTGATGGCCCTTTTGTATGAAATTGAGTCTGACTCTGAGACCATCTGGGTTCATCTGGGTGTATGAGTCCTAAGCTCATTTGAAGAAACGTTTCAAAGCCGATCGACTGATCATTTGTTCATGGTAGAATGTCTGTAAAATGAGTCAAGTTCCCCGCAGTGACTAAGTTACGTGGCCTGAATTTTCGGATTCTCACAAGAGCTTCCCATTCTTATGGACTTATTTAACACGATGACGACCGCCGTTGTGCGCGTACTGCCTCGGAGTTTTTCGTACTCTTTCATCAACAGGCGGAATCCTTCAGCGTTTTCATTATCAGTGATGAAAAAAATTGTTTTCTGGATCAAATAATGTACATGGAAGGTTGTAGAACAGGGAAAAAAAGCTAAATAAAAGGAAAACTAGTCTGCTCCATGTGAAAGTGTAGTATGACATCATACCACACGGTCTCAACGTGCCAAAGGCAAGCCCTGCGATTAGGCAAACTAATGGGAAGGATACCGCAAGGGAAATCGTGGGGTCTGTACACACAAAGATCAGGTCAGCTTCATCTCACAAGTTGCGCTTTTCTTTTTTGCGTCCACAATTAGGCGCTCAACCTTACGGCCTGCAACTATCGACCTCCGTTGCAAGGCTTCCCACCCATCGCGGTTCATGTAGAGATTAGTGTGCTCTCCCGAACCCCATCCTCTCTCGTGTGTTTTGCCGTCTTTGATCGCCCTGTCTCGCCATCGCACCACATTTGACCTTACTGAAGATTAAGCCATGATTTTAGCGTTCCGGCTGCTTGCTCTTGCTGTTCTTTCCACATTCGCTCAATACACCAGTTTTATTTTTTCACTGGAGAAAAAATACGAAGAAAGATGACGCGTTTTGTATAACGTCGGTCGTAAATGGTTTCAACCACAGCCCCGATTTCATTGCATGTCACACATGTGGCACAAGGTGCATTGCACGTGTGCGTACTCGACTAAGCACAAATACGAGGTGTGGGAAATTTTGACGAGTTTCGCCACAAGATCCATAGTGGGTTTACCACAGGATCAATGTATCTCGCTACAATGCTCGACATAGTCCAATTACAGACTGCGTTGTATTAGCAATAATTTTCTTCTTTTCTGCTTCTCTTCTTGCTTTTTTTTTTGCTACTTCTTGCTCTTTTTGCTCCGGTCAAGTGTAAGCTTAGCTTGTTGAGTTGGTTAGGGAACGTCACGCTGTGCCTCTGACGTCTCGATATTTGCTAGGGATGATCAGCCTTGTAAGTGGTGAATTATGGGAATGAGGGAGGTGGTACAGCCACAAAAGTGCTTGAAAACGTTCGAAGGAGAGCTGAACACCGTTGTTAGTACCGGCGATGCACACGAGCTGCAAAGTATTAACTTTTTAGCCACATTTACGTGTCTTCCTAAATCTCCTTCACTTTTGGAAAAGGTCAGAAGAGGCGCACTTTTGAGGAATCCCTCAGTAGACGACTCCCCTCTAACAGCAATTCAGGTTGCTTTCGAGTATGCAGCCAAGAAGGAGAGATCACTAAGCAGGAAGGTCGCTTTACTATGGGCTGATCAAATCATTTTTTGTGGTTTCATGAGCATTTTTATAAAACATGGTTACGAGTTATCCCTTATGTGAGGCCCCCTGGGACTTTCAAGCGAGACGTAAAAACCTTCTCCTAGAAATGGTAGTTTTAGATTTCAATATTCTAGCATTTGTTACTGAGCAGTTCATTAGTTAATTCAAAGCTACACGTCCAGAGAAAGGATCCAGACATATATGAGCGCATGAAAAAGAAAATCGGAAATATGGAAACTTTTGTCGCCATGGGAAATCGAACCACAAGTCGTTGCTTCCACTCCCTATTGTATCCTTGGGGCCTTTTCTGCTCCACGCACTATAATATGTGAATTTCTTCGAGAATGCGCTTTACGGCTGGAAAGCTTCATGACGGTAGTGAACCGATTGCTAACTAGGGCAAACTGGTAAGCACTCTGCCTTCAGTCGAATGTGTGTACTGCAGAGATCAGTATCTACTTCGTTGAAAAATGTTTTTGGGGCCATTTGAATGACTGAAAACTTATATTATATTAGCGCTATGTAAACTAATTGGTGTGTGTGTGAAATGCAATGAAATGCTGACGCACAAAAAATAAAATCAGGGATGTACCTTTTGTCGTTTCCGAACTCTATTTAGGAGATTGACCGGATGCAAAAGGGTGAAAGAAGGCATTTCCAAGTACAGGCAACTACAGTGAAATAGAGGACGAAAAGGGAAATTGATTTTAGACGTCGGCGAATAATTTGGTGATAGGCGATAAATTCTCAATGTATTCAAGGGAAACGCTGCAATGACTCGTAAATGGTTAGAGCAAATACAGAAAATCGTTAACACGTTGACGACAGCACAAGTTTTGGCTTTTCCGCCGCATGGGACACAGGCGCTTTGGCGGGCGCGATTTGCCTGACGCGCAAGCGCGTCAGTTTGTCCCACGAGGTGCGTTTTTTCGGAACTCAAAACTGATAAGTGGCAAAACAAGGGTACATGGAGGGGAGAGGACATCCGGTGAAGACGCATGGTGCTTATCTCTGCCCATTCAGCGAAATACTAGTGATGACATCAATGAATAAAGAATCGATGAGTTTGGGGGAGCCTAACCAGCTTGGGATGGAGGACCAGGAGGGTCGGGCGATTTTAATGACATGCGTGCGAAAGGTGGAATGTGCACGTTAACACTATCTTTTCGAATAAATGACTCCAACAAAGTGGTCGAATCACTACTGAACGTTGAGCGTGAATACTTCTCAAGCCAGTTGCTTCCCACGTGACAGATGTCAGAAGAAGCAAGTAAAGGTTCAAAAGGAACCAACGGCACAAAGTGTTCAGGATATATGCAACTACTTCAAAAAGCAAGAATCTCTCTGCGGCCTCAAAAAACATAGTGGGTTAAAACGCGCTGCGAAAAATGTGGAAAATTTTTGTACAGACTACATCAGTGAAAAACACAAGTCATCTCATTCATAGAACAGTAATCCCTTGACATTATGTATCACCTTGCTATTTGCATAAGCATTTTGTTTTTATGCTTGTTTACCCCTAAAATAGTAGTCGAAGATTAAACCAACCGGAAAATTTAGTTAAGTTCAGAAAACCTTCCCTTGACTAAAGCATATTCGCTTCATGGACCAAACCGTTTACAGACATGACGATGTATTGTCCATATAAGAGTGATAAAAAATTTCGGAAGAAGCCGGGCATGCGCGGGAAAATCGGGTACCAAGCTTCTGACGCGCATGCGCGTCTGAATGTCGACAACGTGTCAAAACGAGTAAATAAAACGGGGCGCACTTGAAGCCTGTACTCACCGATATTCCATTAAGTGGACCGCAGGCAGTGAGCATGTCTCTCTCAGGTTTCCAAACAGCGTTTGATATTTTGTAATAAGAATAATCGAGTGTGCACCTATAAGTTTTTTTAGAAAAGAGACTTCTTAGTATCGAAGCGCTTAAGATATCGTCATCTCAAATGCTGCTACATAATGCATAATAAGAGTAAAAGGGATATTCAAAGTGATAATATGATTTCTGCATCATCAGAACAGCAAACGTTAATCTTATTATTGGTTTCTTGTCACATACGGCAGCTCCTTATAGAAATCCATTAAGACTTAACTATTCTGCAAATCGGAGAGACAGATGAAAAAACTATGAATTTCCGTGAAAGGTCTCGCACAAATCTAATTGATTTTCTTGAAAACTCATTACAAACGGAATTCACGTTGAAATGTTTTTTTTTGATCGAGAAATTCACTTTGGACCCTGAATCTCTTACCTGTGCCTCGCCTGCTCCAAATTTCAGTCATCCGCTCTTTAGAAGTTTTTACAGAAGGCAGGAATGATACCATGTTCACAATTATACTTTCAGTCATGTACCGCGCTTTATTCGCCTCCTTAGGCGAACGACAATCGCCGGTTAATATTTCTTCAGATACGGTAATATGTGATCCAGATATGTGCCAGGTATGCACGTAAATTTCGTATGCTCGAAGTCACAAAAAATTTGTGCAATTAGCAATTTCCAGCTTTTATTCGACATCACTTGCTCCGTACCTCTGTAATACTTGCGTTTTCATTAAGGGGATTGCACGATAACAAAGAAGGTCGAGAAATGGAAAACTTACCTAGTGGAGAGACAGACCTCAAAGGGTGCAGACCAACACGCAAATCGCATCGAAGTATATGCTCCCGGTGATCTGGCATGGCCTTACCTTGGCGCAGTTGGCCCGGAACGCCCACCGGCATGTCAGGAGGGTGTCAACGTTGAAGAGGGCACCATGAGAGTCACATCAATGCGAACCTAACGGAGGAGGAAGGAGTCTCATCCTCGGACTCCGGGCTGCTTCTCATGATCTCTTTTTCATTCCTACTTCACTAAGCATGTCTACCCTTATTTCTAATGAGCTACCTTTTCATCGTGAGATCTGCCTTTAAAGAAATCCTCTTGAGGAAAGTTGCATTCTTTCTCAACATGTGTACGTCAATTGTGATCACTAAGGACAAAATACAAGGTTTCACGCACGAGGATTCGGTTTTGAGAGAAGCAAACCTACGAAAACCACACTTTATGGACGGTCGAGGGTAGATCGGGCAGAGACAACGGAGCGCGTGGAAAGAAGTGCGCCGTGGGGCGGCCACGTTTTAGACGACGCATTGGGAGATTTAGCGCTCGAATTCGAAGAATAGAGACAAAACGATGATAGGATGCAGTGATTGTGAGAATTTAGTGCAATAAGTCAAAAGGTCAAAGGGTTCTCAGTGACGGCGCTCCAAGAACCAAGTGAAACAGTTGTCGTTCACGAAAACTTTATTCTTCGATGAAAACTGCGTATAGTAGTAATTCGATGCTCTGATCACGAATATGATATTTTTGACGCTGCCTCATGTCGCACCGATGGCGTCAAATTGTCGCGACAGAACCCACCGAATTTGGTGTGAAGTTGTATATAAGAGTATTTGGTGTGCTCATTGCACTGTTGTTAGTGCTGACATTGTTGAGGTGTCTGACATTCGTTTTCAGAAGTATCGATGTTTGAATCATACTTCCTACTCTCCTTGGCTCTTTCACTAACAGTCTCCAAAGGTAATCAGAAGACTGCAGGTTGGTAAATTATACATCTTGGGCAAAAGACGAAACGCGTGAGATCACAGGGTTAGTGACTACTCACCTCTGAGCATCCCCCTTCACCACAAAGGAAGCGATTACTGAAGGAAAGCATATAAGCCACGTTAGTTTAGTTAGCCAATTAGTTTGCTGCCAAGGAAGCGAGGTGTGGTGCATCTACGACAAGCTGTGCTGGTTGTTGAGCAAAACTTCAAAATCACTTCGCCCCCAAAAGCAATCCGCCCACTAGTTTAGTTGGTGATTTGAACGAGTTGCGTTGTCGACAGTCTAACTTTTCACCAACCTTGTTGCCAATGTTGGAGCACGTGGCAGTACAGCCCGTAGTGTTCATACACCCCATCAAGATCCAGCTCCTCTCTTTTGAATGTCTACCATGAGTTCGAGTAGCCTCCATCGACCACTTCGGAGAGGGTATTTGAAGAAATGCCTATTCTAATCCTGCGTTGCCCTTTTCTGCTAATAACTGTCTGTATGCATCGCCACATTTACTTCTATGTATGTGCCAAATTGGGCCTAAGTTAGCTAGCAACAAGATATCATGTCCAAGTTACTTCCGCCCTTATGTTTTGCACACCAGTGTGCATAGCAACCATTCTTCAAAGGGATGATAAAAAACAACAAATCAGCTGTGTTTCGTTAATGAATCTAGCCAAGTTGAATTTGTGTAATTTAACTTCAAAACTTCGTTTTTTTTTGCTCACGAAAACCTTGCGCAATTTCAATGACCACGTACAACACATTTATGGAGAGAAAGAATGAACAACTCTTCAAGTACGATTCCTTCGATATTCTGAACCAGCTTACCTACCGAATCTTCATTGACATGTGAGGAAACATTCCTTTGAGATTTTTCGTGATACGCAAGCTAAGCTTTATTCAGCAAAGTTGAAGCTCTGGCTACTGTTTTCTCTACCAGCGATAAAGTGTGGTTTTTAGTTACAAGATAGTGGCTACTCATCTCTGAGCATCCCCCCCCCCCTCACCATAAAGGAAGCGATCACTAAAGGGAAGCATATAAGTCACACCAAGCAATTACTTGGCTGCCATGTGTGGTGCTTTCACGACGAAAGGTGTGCCGGTTGTCGAGAAGAACTTCGAAAGCACCCCGATCCCAAAGGCGATCCGCCTACTAGTTTAGCCGATGATTTGGAAGAGCTGAGAACAGCGGCACAACTGGGGCAACTCGATTAAAGCGTGGTTTACATTGTGCCACTCAACGCATTGCGAAACTCGTCCATATGTCCGCCTTACGAGCTGCTACCTGTTTATGAGTGAAAATCAACCAAGAGGTCCCATTTTACGTTTTCTTGACAAAGTTCTGTTTTTTGCGCCATTGGCCAGTGAGGACCACCACGTCTCTTTTAATCCTTCTAGTACCTATTGTGACCGCTGCCTTTGAAGACATAGTCCTGATCGCGATCCAATCAGTAAAGGAGCAGACGAGCAGAAATAGGGCATGGGCGCCAGTGCCAAAAATGAATGTAATATTTGTAATCAGGGCATCAAATTACTCCCAACAACGTTACACCCAATTTGCTGAAAACAGCATTCGTATCAAAGAAGCTCGAATGATTCTTTCCTCTTTTCTTCACTAGCAACACAATTATCATATGCTTTTTCACAGTTGAACCCATGTCACATCTTTTTTTTCTATCATGAAATAGCTTAAAAGACTGTAGAATCATTACGGCGTCCCCATGGGCGCTCATGCGAATGAAATCATGAAAAGAAAGGATTGTTCAGCCTTCATCGATGAATTTGACCTATTACGAAGGGGACTGTGAGGATGTCATTGCTGAGCCGAGCACTTGGAAGATGAGGACGAGTGGTCAGTGCAAAACTAGTAAGTAATCTAGCCTTAGAACTGAGAAGTTTCCAGTCGACCTCAAGAGTTACTTTGTTCCCTTGAAGGTCTTACTGCATCGCATCTCCCAGGCGAATTTCGACTGTCACAAGTGCATGGGCATTGGGGTAAGACAGCCGATTGTGGTACAGAGCACACATTCGACTATCAACATTACGCATCTGAGGTCTTTCTGGTATCATTACAAGTTGCTTTTTCTGAATAAATACCGGCTAATGTTCTATAACATACAGGTACATTTCGTTTTTTGGAACACCACTTATGAATTCAAGGAGACGTGCAATTATCCAGATGGGATAGCTGTCGTAGCTGTGTTTCTTACGGTACTGTTACAGCTGATTCGAGCACTTCAGCACTCCATTTCTGAATCATTGCCTTTTCAGGTCGGTAAGCACAACAACGATTACGCGCACATCACTGCAGCGTTGCGAGAAGCCGTTCGCAGCCAAGCACCTTCAGCTGTATCAACGAAGCTTGATCTGACTAAACTCCTTCCTATAGGTTTGTTCACTAATTTGTTCCCATCGCAACTTTGTAAACAAGAGCAAGTTCATTAGCAACCCTCATCCCAATCCAAAGGATCCATCAGATGGATGACGTGGTCACCGAGAAGGGTTGAAGGTCTATGTACCGAAAGGGAGACAGGGGGACGCTGCTGTACAGAGCACAATCGTTTGAATGTATGCTTTTTGTGCAGGGATTCCTTCAAAGTTAAGAACCAACTTTTGGCTTTATCCTTAAGACTGCGAGTTTTTTGTATATTTTCGGATTTTTGTGCTGTATAAAATAAATGCCTAAAAAGTAATATTTGCCTACATATTACGTAGCCAGGGCTAACCTAAGAGGGGAAGGACTCAGGGAAAAGTAGTCGGGCACTCCACAGCATTCCCACCCCCTATCCCCTCGTACTACTTTATCCTGGCTGTAAGTGTTCATCACTAGAAAAATGTTTAGCTTCGTCGCATGAAAAGTAAATTTACAAGTCGCTTGGATGCAATGCTTCCCTCGTTCCACCTCCCCCCCCCCTATTAGAACGTAGACCCTAAATGCACTGAATAACGATTCTATCACGGCCCGCTTTCTACGATCAACAAATTAGCCCAGCCTCTCCCCTTTGGAAGTAAGAGCTCGAATAGTTTGAAAGTAGCCGTGCTTATTAAGCTAGGTCCTCACTGGAGCGAATGATACGATTTACCAAACTTGAGCTTCTTCCAAATTACTACACGCTTGCTATTGTTGTTGAAAATTTTCAGTGTAAGAAATATCCCAGAAAATAGCAGAAGCTAATACAGAAAATCTGAAAACGGCACGAAATCGCGACCTGCCTCGCTGCAGGATTTCAGCAGGGCAAGAGGATAAGGACCAATGCTAGAGCAGCTGCTGTACGCAGATCTAATCAGAAAGTTGAAGGGGAAATGCACAGAACCTTGCTAAGCCCCCTTGATAGCGTTTCTCGCCAGGAAACGCCCCGGCTTTCTCATTTGATTTTCATTTATGAATGTATACAATGGGCATGTCATAGCAATGGTATATCTCATAAATAAGAAACACACTTTATCACTGGTAAAGAGAACAGTGGCCAAAGCTTCCACTTTGCCAACCAGTGTGTCATGTATTCATCTGCCTCGTCTCTGGATGGACTTATAGTTTACCCCTGTACGTGCAAGTGGAGGCATTTGATACTACGTCTATTTTTCAAGGCTCTTTAAAAACTTCTGAAAGCTCACATCCTCCGTCATTGATCCAAAAGAAGATACAGTGCGTTTCAGTAGTATACGTCCACCCATCATTTTAACAAAAAAGTTTCTTAAAGAACTGGTCCAATTTAGTAGCACACATTATCGGATTCGTGATATAAGATTAACAAGAAAATTTTTTAGGATTTTTTTTATTCAGTTTTGACCGTTTCATAACATACGTCCACCATTTATATATAACTGGAAAAAATTTTCTTATTTTTCCACGGCACATATCCGTACCAAAATCAAAGGCGGCATGTCTTCTTGCGATGGTGCGTGGTCTCCGTCTCTCTGTAGAAGGAAAGGCTCAGATTCTGGCTCTCCACGATGCCGGTCTCAGCAATCGACAGATTGCGAAGCAAATCGGCAAAAATCACTGTGTAATTTGCTCTAACCTCAGAGATCCTGAAGACTACGACAACGGAGGTCGGCGCAAGTTGAAATTTGTAGGATAGTTTCGAACAGCACCAGCAGCGTCAACGAGATTCGCGTAGAATTTCAACTCTCTTTCTCGGAAACGACCGTATGGCGAGCTACCAAACACAGCGGCAACACTGTGAGAAAAGTTATTTTATTTATTCTATTTATTTAATGCACCTGAAAGGGTGTGCAGACGATGGACAAGCAGAGTTGTAAAGCTGAGCGATCCATGATCAAAAGTAAAAATAAAGAAAAAAGGAGAGAAAATTGGGCTAAAACGTAACACTGAAAATAACCCTGAGATTATGGAATAGTTCAGGAAAAGGACCTAAGATGGCAGTCGTTGAGGTCCTACACTGCAGCCGGTAATAAAGCCGCACTCACCATCCGGAAGACCGAAAAGCCGCTGGCGACGACAGAGGCTGATCTTCCAGCAGGACAACGCAGCGTCCATGCTAACAGGTCAACTTCCGCATGGTCGCAGCGACAAGAAGTTGATGTTATGGAGTGGCATTCATGCAGTCTTGATCTGAATCCAATGGAGAACCTTTGGGGAATGATTGTGCGACGGGTTTGCGCCAACAGCAGGCAGTTTTCCACCGACGAGCTGTGAACTGTGGTCATGGATGCGTGGAGAAGCATCGACCCTTCAGGCTTCAGAAACCCAACAATGAATATGCCGAATAGACTTATGGAGCTCTCTTCAAACAGGGTGTCCCAATTGATTACCGATTTCCAGGAAGTACATTGATGAGTTTGCATAAATAAACTGTTATATGAAGCGGACGTACAGTACCGTGCAGTGAAGTATTCGTTTTCACTTTTTTAAGCATAACTCCCCCAAAATTCAAGCTTTTGCTCCGATTTTTTATAGGTGATTACATATTACTATATGTCATAAAGGGAGCAAATTTTCAGCTGTCTAGGTGACTTGTATACCAATTTAGAATTTTTTATTTATTTTTGGTCCAATACCATATTACTGGTTCGAACTTCAATCTATCTGCGATCGTCAGTGGGACGAATTTTTCGAGCTCGTTGTGAGCTTTATGGCCTCCAACTTGACTCCGAAAATCATCCTATAGATTTCTGCTCAGATTCGAGTATGGGGACTGCGATGACACGGCAGTAGATGAATATTGTTGTTGCGGAACCATTTCGAGAGCGGCTTTGATTTTGCGATTCGGGTCGGAAAATGAAGCACTACGGGCGACACGGCGAACATGCGGTCAGATAGCAGTCATCCACATGCTGAGGTGCGTATTGGCATCTATTTAACCCTCGTCCGATAGAGGTGATCAACCCCTTTGCCACAGAAGCTGCGTTGCAGTATCACCGCACCCCCTGCATTCTTCAAGTCAGCACATGGAACCTCGGATGATGTCTGGTACCAACAGGAAGTCAAACAAAATTGTTTTTATTCGTCCTAAACAGCAAAAACTTCGATTCGTTGCTCCAGATGACTTTTTGTCACTGCTTAATAGATCATTTCCTGGGCATGAGCGCCATTGAGATGCGCTTTGCCACTCTTGAGGGGAAATCAGCGGTTTCTTACTGGGCGACGTCAGAAGAGCCCAGCATCTCTCAAACCACGTCGCACGTTGTCTGCGGACGCATTTAGACCGTCTGGCGTCGAGAACCCGCGTTGAATGTCGGGTGCAGCATGATGTGAGCCACTCCTTGGTCGCACATTGTTTCTATTGGCGAGACGAGAGGTCATTTTTGCTGCTCCTGGGCACTTTTTGACTTTGGTAGGTCCGATGCTCTCGAATTTCTTCCAAGTCGTCCACTGGCACTCCTTGAACTTCGAAAATCTGCTGGGATGTCAAGCCTTTGTAGAAGCTCCGAAAGATGGCGTCACCTGGTCCTGCCACAAGCTAAGAATTCCCGAATGTCTTGGGATGTTCTGAGTAATGTGCAGGCATGTGAAATTGACACAAAACAGCAAAAACGCACGAGCTCTCAACATGAAAACTCATCGTTTATCAGGAACGAAATTGGGTACCCGCGGACAATACTCGAAAATGAAGCTCCATTTCCCGTTGAAAGGAGGCTACTGCACCGATACACTGCTATAATATTACTACCTGTGTTTGTCACCTGCTGTTAAAGTTTTACTGCGAAAGCTTGAGTTTTGAGGAAATTACGTTCAAAAAAGTGAAAACGAATACGTCACTGCACGGTACTGTATATTATGAAACGGTCGAAATTCGAAAAAATACTTCTAAAATTTTTTTACAAACTTGAAAATCTGAAAACACGTTTTCCATTGCTTTCTAACGAAGCGAATCCAATAACGTATGCTGCTAAATTGGGTCACCCCAACAAGAAAAGTTTTCGGTGAAATAAGGGGTGGACGTATACTGATGAAACGCACTGTAATACCTCTCTCACAACATGTTGTTGTTGAAGGGGAATCGAATTTCGAATACGTTAGAATCGCTTAGTGACTGGGCATTGGCTCTGAAACAGAGTGTAAGTAACTTATTGTGATTTTACAAAGATATGTGATAAAGTTACTCAGAGATGCATTGTTGTATGATTGCTGCAATTTTTTACCATGGTTGAGATTCCATGATAGAGTTTGCGGATTTGTTTCTCAGTGATAGAGAAATCCAAGTGCATATAGACTCTGCTTATTCTGAGGTTTTGAGTCGTCAAAATGGTGTCCCGATAAGGTGGTGTATTGTCACCAATACCGCTCTACCATTAGGTTGTCTCATAAATAGTTTCGCTTTTTTTCAACCGAAAAATTTCATCTAAATTCTCACGCATTTACAAAAATTCATATACCATTCGAAAGAGGATTGTCCGCTCTACAAGGCGATGTGCTCCTCTTCCATCTGTGTTTCATGGTTTTCAAATTTTAGGCCTGCGAAATGGAAGGTTCAGCCGATAAAAATTGACCAAACCTACAACTACCTCTAGCTTTAAGTTCTCTTGGGAGAAATCAATCAATACTGCGCTCTCTACTTACTCATGACCTTCTGAACATTCCACCCTTAGGTAGCTTGAAAAGGGTTATCTTGTTTCTCTTCAAATTGGCCGATCGACAAGCCATGGCAATTTCCAAAAAATAAAATTCTTCCTCTGAAACGCTATTGTTTTATGTCAACTGGTGTATCTTCTGCGAGCAATTCTTCTGCTCTATTCGCTCATTTGTTTTGCTTTGATGTTTGTTATGAATTAGCTCGAATTTTAGGTGTTTAGGTGTAAGGTGCTTTATCCACGAAAGCGAACGCATTTCTTTGAAAAAAAAAATTATTCCTGAGAAGATGAGCAAAACCAATTAGGCGTACACTCCTAACTTAGTCATGACATGTTCTTTAAATTCCTAGTCTTTCAGTGCCTCGGCTTTAGAAAAT